CGTTTGAATGTTCTGCTGAGGGGCCGTCTCTACAGCCAGCAGACCACAGCCTAAACATCTGGTCAGATAACTTAGGAAAACATCTGCTTCACGCTCCAGAGCCTCGCTCTCACTGTTCTGGCTCTGCTTCTGCACAGGAACAGGAACTGAAGCTGAACCGGTGACTTTAGCTCGCAGTGTTTATAACCCTGATAAATGGACTCGGGGGCCGAAGAAGGTAAATAAGATGTGTTTGACTCTCAAACTGAGCAGCAGAGTCCAAAAAGCACGAGCTGACAATCCGATTCATGTTCCTGGGTCACAGAGCATCAGACATCAGCCCGTCTGCTGTAAAACCTTTGAAGGTTCAGCACTTGACCATAAGACGTAGCAGTCAGGTGGGTGTGGCTGCAGCACCAAAATAAAACTGATTGAGCTAAAAGCAGAAGCAACACAGATCTGGGAGTCTATGATACTCGAAACCACCTTCAGCCTCCAGACCTCCATCTCAGAACCTGCAGCCTCCACAGTCAGGACAGGGGTACATTTACACTGTCAGAGGCGTGGCCTGGAGCACTTTTGGCTGTCCAATTAGGATGAAGCTGTAGTATTTTATCAGGAAGTTCATTAGGAATAACGAGCAGGCGTCTGTGGGACGCATCAGAGTCTCTGGACTAGCCGACTTGTTAGCATTAGCTCAAAACTACCCACAAAACAAACAAACTTCAAGATGTTGATTCCAACTACAGACAGTGGTCAGGTCCATCTTTTATATGCAGCTTGTAAACTGCAGCGCTCTTAAAATATTTAATATTGGAATAATAACAACAATAATGAGCTGTGTTGTTGCAGTCGCACCATGCAGCGCTGTAGACATCTGGAGGTCCATGCGGCTCTTCTGCTCGGCCGCACTGATCTGCTGCTGCGACGGCGTGTTCGCAGGCGTATCCGCTGCCGTGAGGTCAGGTGACTTCTCCACGTGCTTCGCCCCGACAGACGACAGCTGGAGCTGCTGACTGCTCTCTGACAAGGGGAACAAAAGAAAAGGTCAGGCAGGTTTAGACATTTTGAGCTCTGAACGGTCACTTTGTTACCGTCTGAAACGACAGAGCGCCACAGAGGTGAGGAGCGATTTGAGATCCAGTTTTCTAAATCAAACAGTTTTTCACTCCTCTGATTTGAAGACGGCAGCATTCAGTAGGACAAAGGCTCTTGGTGCTCCAAGGAGCAGCATCAGCCGTGACTTTAATGCAACTCTGTGCTGAATGTTGATGGCAGGAGTAAAGTCACAAGAACGGGATAAAAACAAAAGAGGAAACGTGTGATGACATCGCAAAAGAGGCCAGAAAGGAGCACAGAGTCGCCGCGTGCTCATCTGCAACAACGTGTGTTATGTAAGGGAGAAGGAGCCATGAATCAGCATCAGCAGGGAGCTGTTAGTGAAGGCAGGGCGGCCCGCAAAAACAACAAGTGGAAGAATGGTGCGACATTACTGCCTCCTGAAAGAAATGAGCTCATTGTTGGTTCAAGTCCAAAGGCCCTGCCAGATTTTTCAGGGTCACAGATCAGCACGGCCTGTCTGATCCTATCAGGATTCTCTTTACACGTGTGTGACAACCCCACCCCCTAAACTCCAAACCAGCACCCACCCTTCAGTCCTGAACTACACCTTGATTCAGCTCATTAGAACACTGACATGCATACAAATGTGTGTGAGACGAGCAGCACTCCTCCAGGGCTGAAAAACCTGCAGTTCCTCTAATGACCACTTGAGGCAGTCCCCATAGACTCCCATGTTAAAACTTTAACTGTAGCTACTGCAAACTCCACATCACTCAGCTGAATGTCGACAGGTTTGTGCCGTCACAGCTGTCTGGAACCCGTTTAGGCCCATCGAAGCTTAAACATTTTTAAATCCTGGTAGAAGTGAAACCACATAAGCTGGCGCACTTTTTTTTGTATATGAAACTGGAGGAGTTGAAATTGCATAACATGCATTCAATTTTTTTCCCAAATGGCTTTGCAAAGAAAAAAAAGAAAAAAAAAACCCACATAAAAATTGCTGCAACAGCAAAAACATAATAATCCTGAAACACGCTTTGCCAATCTGATCAGCTGTTTGCAGCACTTCCTACGTCAGCGCAAACCATCGCATGTTCACCATCACCTGTCAAAACCGGACGTGACGTCATGTTTTGGGGAAACGTCGTTTTTCCTTGCAGCGCCTCTCAAAGGTTTACTGGTGTTTATGAAAGTTTATGCCTTTCTGTACAGTTTCTGGAGGCTTAATTGACCTGTTGGAAGTAGATTCTCTTGATGCCGTTTTTTTATAATAGTCATTTCGTTTTTCCTGCAGTTAATAAAAACATTGTGTATCTCAAAAATGAAACTATGAAGACACTTGAAATTTCTGTAAGTAGAAACATGTGTAAAAAAAAAAAAAAAATCATTTTTTTGTAGTTTATTGCACTTCTTTTGCAATATATATAGTTATTATGGATTTAATGCACATATTATTAAAATTTGGGATATAACGTTTGTATTGATGCATAGCAAGTTGAAATACTCCCAGAAATGCCTACAGCATGTAGAAATATAAAGATAAGCACGAGGTCTGTGCTGTAGTTTTGAGGCATTTCAGTATTTTATGAATTTGTTACTTTGCTTTCATACAAACAGAATAATAACTTTAGGTTTGGAGGAAATGCTCGCTTTCAAAATGGAGAAGCAAACATGAAGAGGATGAAATGGAAATCACAACATCTCTGTGACAGCGGAGCAAAGTCCATCAGCTGAGGACGATCAAATGACACGATCGTTAGCTACAGAAGAGCCATTATCATAATGGGAGGAAAGCTCGAGTCGGTCTACATGTCAGACTCTAGTCTGATATAATAAATAAACAGTACCCTCACCTTCTTTTGACTCCGCCTGCAGCTTCAGGATGTCCTCGGCGCTCCCGTACTTCATGACTGAGTTGATGGATGACAGTGTGCTGACCAGCTGACTGTTGATGACCCCAAACTGGGACTGGGGCTGGCCGAATGCCTCCGCCAGCTCGGTATAGTTCTCGGCCAGCAGCATTTGCTGCTCCTGCAGCAGCTTCTGCACGCGCTCGATGTAATGGTCCAAGCTGACGCCACCGTGCGCCTGCAGGGCGGCCGGATCAGCGTGCACAGCGACCGGCGCAGGCTTCACCTCTGCAGTCTCCTGGCTGCCGATGCTCGCCACAGACTCAGCCGGCTGGGAGGGGCCACACGCTATGTTTCTGGTTTTTAAACCAACCAGGAAATTCTCATGGACGCTCACTGGCCCCACCCCACATTCTTTGGTTTTAGTTGAGCTCAATTTGCCGGGCAAGAGCTCCACGTCCGAGGTGGTTCCAACGGCGATCGAACGCATCTTTGCCGTTGAGTGAACGTCTTTGACGAGTCCTTCTCCGGCAGCCACGGTCCGGGTTTCTGTGACCACCGTGTTGGTTTGCTTATCTGATGTAACCGACTCCATGTGAGTGAATGAGTCTGAGAGGACAGCCTGCTTCGTGTTCGTGGACTTGTGTGCAACTTCTGCCTCAGTGCTGGTCTCCTGAGTCAGTAACTCAGGAGCCGCCGTGACTCCAGAGTCCACTTGACTGACACGGTCAGTCTCAGTTCCTTGTGACACCAGCGTCTTGATGGGACTAACGATCACATCCACCGAACAGTCTCCACAGCCCACGGATCTCTGCTCTTTGCTGGCTTCCATTGCGGGTTCACCGAGGGTCAAGCTGTCCACCAGCTCCTCTGTGTTCACTCCCACCTCACAAACGCTGAGCTCTACGCCTACCTGCCGATGGCACGTCTCCACGTGCCGTCCTACACACTGGTCAGACACCTCCATCTGTTCGTGCACCACCCACCGGTCCATGGGGATATCCGGTCCTGTGGCGACGCTGTGCACAGAAGGCTGACAGGACACTCCTCTAGTCAGAGTCTGTGGACTTTTAGCAGTGCTAACATGGCTGAATTCCAGATGTTCGCCCACTCCCTGGCTGCGTGTCTGGACTTTAGCCTCCACACAGGCGCTGTACATCTCCGGCCTGACCATCAAACCTTTGTCTGCTTTTTTCTTGTTTGACCCGCCGGCAGCTTGGAGCTCCAGTTTCAGCTTGCCCATCTCCATCTGATGAGTGGTTTCTTTGAGCTGCACCTCCAGGCGGTAGATCTTCTCCTTCAGGGAGTCGATGGTCTGCTGCTGGAGCTCGATCTCTTTCTCAGCTTCGCTGCTCATGCCCAGCATGGCCTCGGTGACGCCAACTGCAGTGCTCCGGATTTCCAGCCGCTCTGTAGACACCCCCGCGTCCCGAAAACAGCGTTCCTTCTCTGGCTTTCTTTGGGTGGCTGGAAGATTATTCATATTTTGATCAGTAACTATGCCAACAGACTTTTGGTGGGCCTGGTTCTGCGTGAGGTTTTGAGGCTGATTTTCATTTGCGTTGTCCTTGGAAGTCTTCTCCAGTGCTTGGACCTCAGCAGCCAGGCGTCTGAACTCCTCCAGCCTCTGAGCGCTCTGCTCCTGGGCTTCTGGCTCGATGATGTGCAGCTCCGTTTCCTTTTGGATGGGGCCCGGGTTTTCCATTTGGTCAGCGCAGCCTACACTGTAGGAACGTTTGCGGAAGCCGCCAAGACCTTGACCTTTTGATTGAGCAGCCAACTGTCTTTTCTCCTCCTGCAGAACGGCAATCTTCACCTGCAGGATGGGAATGGTTTTCACCTGCTCTTCCAGCTCTTTCAGCCTCTTGAGCGCCACGACCATCTGCTCCCGGATTTGCTGCAGGTGTAACGGGCTGACGTTCGTTACCGGGGTAGCCACGCCAGAGCTCATGGGGCTGTGGCGGATGGAGCTGCCCCTGGATGGTGGGTAATAGGCGTTATACTCTCCGTTAGGGAGATGACCGTTGATGGGCAGAGTCTGATAGGTGTTGGGAGAGATCTGGCTTGTGCCTATGGAGCCAGAGTAGGAGGACAGCGAGCTGCTGGAGCCCATACCACCGAAGCTGGCGAGACGCCGGCGGGGCATCGGAGGCTCGCTTAGCGGCTGCAGAAGCGCACGCTCCTGCTCCAGCCGACGGCGGGTCTCCATGAGGGTCTTCTCCACTTGGGGGTTGTGCCGAGGGGCAAACCTGGGCGACGGTGGGGGGAGGAGCTGTTTCTGCTCTGCGATGCTTGAACACGGCTGATGCAGAGGCACCTCACAGGCTGCCCTGGAGAGGGTGGGGGTCAGCGGGGCAGCGGCCCTGTTGGTGAAGAAGACCGGGGACTGTTTGCCGTCACTGTTGGAGGAGGACAGCGAGTCTGTGGAGGTCCATTCAGCCTGAGCGCCGACCCCGCCAGTGCTGCCCCGAGGCACCGCCGAGGGTTTGGCCACTTTGGGCTTCCTCTGGATACTCAGCTTCTTAATAGTGTTGCCCCTCTCGATGTCGTCAACATACTTGAGGAAGTCCAGGTCTAACTGATAACCATAAGGAGTTTCAACATAGTAGGAGGCCTCAGAGTCCTTCTCGTCTTCTGTGCTTGGGCATCTTTGTCCTCTTTCTGTAAGAGAGACCACAAAAATGTATTAGTGTCGCTTTAATGCTGGAAACAGACCGATTTATAGACTCGTACATACTGAGAGGATCTACTGAGCAAGTCTGTGAAAGTGTGAGAGTCAGGAAAATCATTTATCCTGTTAATTTGAGACAAAATCACAATAATCCCACTCTGACATATAAATAGATCTATGCACATTTCATTCAGCCACATGATAAAAACAGGAGGAAAATAAAGAGGACAAGTCTACAAATCCCAGCAGCTTCATCTGATCCGACTCTTAACGTGCAGGTATTTTCTTTGTTTACACAGAGTTAGTCTAATGCTGGCAGCACGCTGCCGGCACCTCTGGCCACAGACGGTCGTCATAATTTGACAGAGCGAGTACAAACATCTCAAATTTCTCACATCTCTGCGTCTCACATAGTTTGGGTCCAACTAAAACATTCTCTGCCAAAATAATTAGCACTCGGGCTTTTCCACAAAAGCGGCAGAAGATTTAAAACCAAATCTGTCAAAGTCGGCTCGCCGAGGTGTGACGAAACCAAAGGTTCGAAGCTGTGACACAAACAGACTGTTGCTTCCAACGCTCACACAAGAAAGAAGGCAAAGGGCTCAGAGAGGCGACGTCAATATTCCCTCGTTCAAAATCCATCCAGTGTCAACATTTAGCTGTTACAGGCAGAAGTGACCACGAGCTATCACCCAGTTAAAAGAGCAGCTACGGGCCAATCAAAGCTGCTTAAATCAAAGTCCAAACTCCAACACTTCCAGCTGAAAATGCCCTCCGTCACAGCCAGGCCGCCGCATTCACACCGCGTTGGCTAAATACAGAGGCTTGTTCTTGGTATGCCTGGAACTCTGTGACTAAAGCAAACACAGGCTGGAAATAAACAGCCCTGCTCTTCCCTTCCAGTCCGCCCAGCTCCTTTCCATTCAGCAACAGGAGGGGGGAACTACAGGGATAAGCCTGCTGCTAAAACCTCTGCATGTGTTGCTCAAACTTCACTCACCGCACACCAGCAGCTCTTTAACTGGACGTTTCCTCCTCTGCTCCTCTCGGCTTCACATTCACGGCTGCTGGGATCGCAACTACGCCTTCTCCTCACTCTGTGCTCGCTTTCACAATCCTCTCTCCACACGGGACATAAAAAGCTCCACTATTGGTGTAAACTACACGCAGCGCTGCTCTGGTGCACCATTGGACAGCTGCTTCCTCCAATCGTGTGAGGCTAGAGCCGGGCGCTTCCCTTCCTAAATAAGAGTCCTGTTATGCATGGAGGGGAGGTGAACCCACCACAATAACAGTCTGTTCTTGACACCAGTCACACTTTTACACTGGTCTATGCTCCATGATACAAATTCATTTTTCTACCAGGTAAAGAAAAGTGAGGGGAAACACCTGAGTGCAGCCACACACACACACACCCCCCCCCGACCTGGTCCGTGCACGGCTAAATCTACCCCCTCAGTGTTCAGCCTGTGATGACAACACTGCATGCCATTTATATGGCACCAAATCACAGCAGCAGTCGCTTCAAGGTGCTTTATGCTGTAAGGTAAAGGCTTTATTTAAATCATGCTGTGTCACAATTTTAAACTAGTCTGCACTCTGACAGTTGTTTGGGGGGAAAAAGCCAGTTTCCTCGTGTTTTCTGATTTTTTGTTTTTGTGAATCGAGCGTCTGACAGCTCCGCCTGCAGACAAAGCCCCGGCTGTTTTCTGCTGCCCTGAGAGTCCCGTCCCGTTTTTTCCCTGGTATAAATATTCTGAGCGCACAGTCACGGTCTTGTGCTGTCTGGTTTGGAGGAGTCCCCCTGTGGCACGAGCGCCAACCGGCCGTGTCGCATGTGACGGGCGGCTCTGTGGCACGGACACTCCGAACAGCTGAGCGATGACCTCATCAGCTGACAACTGACGGGGTCGGGCAGCAGGACAGCGAGAAGAGCCCGGGCGTCTGCTGCAGCTAGCAGCTGTGAGCTCGTCAGTCTGAGGGGTCACATGACAGTTAGCACAGCGAGGCTGCTGGACTTCATCTCCCTTCTTACAGACCACGTCTTCAGCCCGGCCTAAAGCCGTTTGCACAGCCATGAAAAGGAGGCATTATTCTGTTCCCCAAACTGAGCTGCACCAGTGTGACCAAGCCCTCGAAAACAGGACCTGCAAACTTCCCTCTTTATCTGCCTCAACAACCAATGAGAGGAGAGAGAGAAGCACATTTCTGGTTACAATTTGGTCATAAAATTATTTTCTCATTTTCCCCTGAACATCCTGAAGCTTCTGGATGTTAAAACATTACTGTTGTTTAGTGTATCCGGCCTGCTGGTGGAATCGACCTTCTTGCTGTGAGGAAACAGTGCTGCTGTATGAGTTTTTAATTTAGCAAATTTAGGGACTCATCATACTTCCTCTCTTTTCCACCTCATTTTCTCCTCTTGCTCCAAAGCTCACAGCTCAGCCTGTTCATGTGGGAATTTCAGCCTCGTTCCTTCAGCTGTGACCAGGTGGGTTTAACGCTCTGACTCCAAGTGCAGAACAAACATACAAACAACTGAAATCATTATTTGAGGGTCCAAAAGTGCTTTAATCAGCTGATGAAGATAAGCAGTTTCCTCAGGTGATAATCATCTGACACCTTTTACAGAAAGTCAAATCGTCTCTGAACTCAAACCATTAATAAGCTGAGCTCCAGTATAAACAGCTGGTTTTTAATTCTTTAGTTTCTGGGGGATACATTTTGTTTTTTTCTTACCCATCCAAGGACATTAAGACCAAATACAGCTATGAGCATGTGCACCGTGTATTAATAAAAGACAGAATAAACAAAAATGCCTCTTTTAGTCAAAGTCGTCCAGCGGAGCAGAGTTTAGCTCTGATCTGCGAGTGCCAACCTAAAAATATCAGGTAGTTTTGACCACAGTTCCCGGCTCTGTTCCACTTCCCTCAGATATTCAAATATTTCTGCCTAATTATCAAAGGTGAGCCATATGTACAAGCTCACAATGAGGACTCGCAGCTCAGCGGCTCAAACAGAAACTTGCTTAGAGTCAAACACCAGTTCCTCACACGTCCCTCTGCAGCCAAACTCAGCAGCACGCACCGTCGGTAACACGTTTCAGTCGTTTCCATGTCCACAGACATGTGAGCCACGGAAAACACCCCGAACTGTGTCTGAGCTTTTCTCTGCTTCTCCAATCAGCTGCTGAAAATGTCCAGCCTTCATTCATTCACGCCGCTCAAGTCTCCGTGTTTGCTCTTAAAATATGGGACTGCAGGCCGGCCCGGGCCCCGATGTTGACGCTCTGAAGAAAAATATACAAGCGGGGCCGTGCTTATTTTACAGCGGCTCTGTAAAAGTTTAAATTTAGAGCTGACGAAAGCCTTTTAATTCCACAGCGCCATCAGACGCTGAATAAATGAGGCTGCTGGGCTGAATGTGTCTGCCAGCTGTTTGTTAACCAGAGAAATTAAAGCCAAACTACCTGCTTACACGCACGCACGCACCCCTCACCTTAGAGCACAGTTCCTCATCAGTCTGTGGACAGTTAGGGTGTCAGTAATCTTTAACTACATGTTTTAAATGTGTACGACCGGGCTGGAGTTGAAGCTGTTATGATCTGATAACATGTGCACTTAGGTGGGGTCCAAGACAACAACATTACGACCCACGCGTGGTGCGATCCGGGGATATTAGGATAAATGAGTGAACTGCTCGTTAGTGATGTAGACAAGATGAGTTTAGGCCCAACTACTAAGCACTGGGCCTTGTGGATATCTGAGAGACGCCGACGTCCACAGAAGAAAACACTGGAGTGTTCAGATCTGAGCAAACTGCCCTTTTATTTAGATTTTAATCTTATCGGTTCTGCCCAACAGCTCACGTTCAATTTAAGTTCCAGCTCAAAGGGGATCGAGTCTCCAGTGTTCTAAGATCTTTAGTGACGCTCCAAAAAGTCCTGAAATAACAAAGAAACAAACTTGTTTGGGAACACCCGTTTCACTGTTGGTACCTCACGTGTACATCTTTACCAGTATCCAGTATGCACACGCTGCTTCTGGGTCTGAAATGTGAAGTGTGCCTTTAACCTGTATTTTTTTTGGCCTTTATCAGACAGGAAAGTGGAGACAGGGTGGCAGGAAGCCGTGCAGAAAATGGTCTGGGATGGAGCCCAGCCGCACGATGAGGCTGGAGTCTTCAGGTTTGGGACACTGCTGTAGCTCACCTGTTTGCACAGGTACCGACCTAATTAATTAATGGCCACCAGGAGGCGGAACCTGTGGTTCCAAAGAGACTAAACGCCCTGCAGCAGGGGTGGGAAACTCCAGGCATGTTGAGGTAATTCAGCCATTTAATCAGCTGTGTTGGGTCAAAAACAGCTAAAGCCTGCAGGACACCGGCCCTCGAGGTCTGGAGCTGGAGGAAACGAGCAGGTAACGTCACAGCACACCCGTCACATGACCCGTTCCAGTCGTATCCAGTTTCTTTCCTCAGGCCGTCGCTCTGACCAACACTTAGACACTCACATAGTGTCTGTACTTAAACAGCCCCCATACCTGCTGCCAAATCAAAGCATGCTATAAAGTCGAGTCCTTGTGCGCTTACTGTATACATGTGTAACATTATCAAACCCTTATAACTCCATAATTTATCCCAACATCTTTGCACCAGTGCACTTATGTGCTACACGTGCCATTATCGTCTGTGATGTTGCGTTTGTCAGCGTTGCCTGTCGTCTGTTTGTTTACCTACACTGTGAGCAGACTGCAGCCCAATTCCAAGCATGTGTCCACACAGTCTGTCTATAACGTTGGTTTTGCAATAATGAACCTTTAACACAACCATCACTACCAACAGCATCCAGGAGAAACACTGAAAGACTCGTGAAATGCTTGAAAGAAGTGAAAGTGAACTCAGGGCCGTTCAGGATGTGCAGAGAAAAACTTGCAAACTCATTGGAAGTGCAGGGCTGTGCTCCCGCATAGCTGTGAGAGCCAAACATGAT